AAACAGTACTGGTCCCAATACAGACCCCTGAGGGACACAACTCGTCACCAATCTCCGTCTGGACATTGAACCAGATTACAAATTACCAGCTCCTGACTTCAGTGACAGTTTTGTTAGCTAAGAGCTCTCACATCTCATTTCCAGGTACCCTGCTGTTAATTCTGCCTTCCTGAACTTCCAGGTCAAGTCTGCCTCCTTTTTATTACATTAACGCTGCTTTCCACACGAAATATGCTCATTTCCAACCTCTGCAGCTATGTGGTGCTCACCTAGCCCTAGATGAACTGTTTGCCCATCATACCTCTGACCCACCTGAGCCACCAGTGCTGCTCACAGTGCATAACTTCAGCTACACCGTTGGTGCAGTGGGGCTCTGTGTCCAGACCAACAGCCACAGCTCTCATTCTTGTCTATGCCCTAAATTCTTCCATCCCCAAATTCTGTTCCCCTGTCTCCCAGCCCATAAACCCTGCTCTTTGTTCTTTCTCATCAGTCCTGCCTGTACCTCACTCCTATATGTAAACCTCCTGTATCTGTCTATTGCAGCTTTGACTCTCTTTCTTCCAAGGCTCCTTACCTCTCTCTGAAGTAGGATTTCTCTTTTCCTCTCAGGCAGGCCTTCTTTCACTCTCTCAGCAGCAGAGAGGTGCCAGAGCTCTCCGAGCAGCTCAGTTTTCCCTCTCAACCTCATCTCCTCTCCTGGGCTTCTTACTGAAAAGCCACAATAAACTGTTGAAACCTGAAAGGAAGGATGCCTTTATGGGATAAGCGCTCTCTCAGCTGAAAAACTGTAATAAATTTTGAGTTGGTAAATGTCACTTACTGCAAAAGAAGTGCATTGACAACATTCAGGCTTCTAGTGGTAAATTAAATAAAAATCCCAATATGTGGCTAATAGCAAGAACAGGATATGAAAAACTGCCTAAGGAAGGGTGCAAGTGAATTTAACGTCACTAAAGAGCTACAAGAAATTTTTAATTCCTAAGTTGGAATAATTTCTATAATCACAGATACACTCTGGATCAGCACTGAAGCCTGATAATGAGGACATATACTTTTGTGGCACAAGACTTCAAAATGCATGATTAAGAAATGAAATGTATTGTGAAGGAGTCTGCATCAGTAGCATACATTCTAGCAGAAAATTCTTCCAGGAGATGACAGGACTTAAAAAAAGGCCTTAAACGGGACTTACACAAGGCAATATACTAATTATTTGGCAGTGCATAATATCTTTATTTAGAACAATAAAGTATATGTATAGAATGTAAATTCCAAATTTGAACTGGTATAAAAAAGGATCTGGGAAAGTATCTGTCTTTAAGAGGACACATATATACATACACATCACATTTTATAAACTTTGTTGATTACCTTCAGTCAAAATGTAACTATGCAAGTCTGTGCTGACATTTACATTGAAATAAATGAATCTGCCCACGATACAACCAGCAAATGTCTGTCTCTAAAGAGTCTGAAGTTTTCGCGTTCCATCAATTTGATAACATAACAGCAGCATGCCACCTTTACTGTACATCTGCTTTTAACAGACAGTTGAACCAGATTCCTGAATTGAAGAATGTTGCATAATTCTTAAATGTGAATCTAACTCAAAATATCTGTATTTTATATATACAGTTAGCTTTTCAATGTAACAGTTGTGTGCACTGAACAGTTTCAGCATATTACAAAGAGAGAGAAACAGAGAAAACAGGGCTGATAAAGATGAGAATCTAAAAATGTGCAGGTTGTACATATACTCCATAGTATAGCACATTTTATAAGCTTACTTATAAAATGACCTTGTGATGAAATAAGTACCATTAATTTATTCAAGTAAACACACATCTAAAGTAGCACATTGAGTTACTCAGTATATCACTACCTGCTTTTTATTCTCACAAGGCCACTATTAAGTGCATGCAAAGTTCAACTACTCCAAAGGAAACCTAAAAATGTTAATTTCTCACAAAACCACAGACAGCTGAAAAACAAATTTGGTTGACTTTTTTATACAAAAGACACTTACTTTTCCCCAATTTCATTTGAGAAGCAAGGGCATTCATTTTCGAACTGTGTTAATGTATGGGCTCTGTCTACCTAAAAAGAAGACTGAAAAACTGATCACTCTTTGTAAATTAAATAGCTTAGAACCAGATGAAGAAGCGATCAAAGGACTGTTTCTGCCATTCCTACAGTCATCGAACAGTAATTTATTCTATTTCAATTGATTTCAAAGATGTCTCACAAGTCAGTAGTCTCTCAAAATTTCACTATGTCTCAAGTAAGGGCCTCCTCAGTGAGTAGACAAATTGGGCACAGAAACTTTCCAATAATTTTGCAATCACTTTTCCAAGTGCCATGTCATCCACTGTAACCATGAATGTCTAGAAGTGTCCTTCTGCTTTGCAATATGATTGAGAACACCGACTGTTTTGTCCAGATCTCTCAAAAGGGGGTGCAGAGAACAGGAAAACCATGAGCTCCAACAACAGTTCTGCTACTCCATGTCTCATGCTACTTCAGTGCACATTCAAAGAACAATGTTTGTGATGTGAAGTTGGACAGTTTACACATGAATTTTCTTTCTGTTCTCATGTAGCCTTAAATTTGCCTTGCTCCATGGAAGATACTAAAGTATCTGACATTATTTGAAAGTGACTTGGTACTATTTTAAGATGTTACTCTTGGAAGGTGAACATTTCGCAGTAGACTATCTGGGTTCAATGTATGTTTCAATTTACAACTGATATTTTCTACAGTATTGAACAGTAGACCAAGATGCCTAAAACATTGTGCATTTTGAAGAACAAAGTATAATTTGGGGCACACCAATGTGCAACATTACTGTATATTTGGTTTTTCTGGAAAAAAAATGCATTCAGGAAAACTATCATTCTTATGAACAAAGAACATTCATAAATACAAGATTTTTGGTTAACTGAATCTAAGAAAAATACTGTAAAACTTAAAATGCATAAGTTTGCTTTGAGAATGTATTATATAGCAACATGAAGTATTTAAGGTTTTTGTAAAATGTGTAAGGATAATTGCTTCCATTTACTGTAGATATTTTTCTACTCTGTCAAAACCAATATGCAGTTATTCTCCATATTACCAATAAGGTGCAAATTTCCCATCAATTAGGTCATGCTGACATTTCTTTCAGAGTGACTCTAAATTTGAAACACAAAGTCTGAGGGCCTTGTGACTAAAGAACTACACAATGTCAAATGAGGCTAGGCTGCAGATGAGGAATTCTGTAGTTTGATTTTTGCAGAGCTAAAATTCTGAATGCACTTGCTTTTTAGAAGTGATAAGCAACCTTAAGTGGTGAGTGCTCCATCATCTTCTGAATAAAAATGAAGGCCTAATTCTCACACTAAGCTTTTTTTGATCTAGTTGAAGAGAAGTTCCTCAGATGATGCAAACCCCAAAGCTCTGTTACCATTAATGGAACTATGTTCATTTATAGCAGGACTTGAGGACCCTTTTCTGACACCGAGGAAGGGGAAAAAGCCCTCAGTAGAAATAAAAAAAAAATACACATGATCATGTCCTTGTATCAGTGAATTCACGAGAAGTTTCAACACTGATCTCACATTCAAAGTTCCATGTAGAGCGGCCACATGCACACACAAGCTCTGTCATCAAACATAGTAAGGTTTTGATTTTTTTTCTTTTTGTTAAGTATGTATGAAAATCAGTTTTACCAATAGTACACACATACATGTATGTGCATATATATTATAGGTATGTCATACTCTTTTAGTGCATGACTCCCAGAAAATTCAGCAGATGATTAAAATTTCCACAAGAATTCTCAAAAAAAGTTAAGTAACTACATACTTTAAAGAGAACTGCAACTATGCAAAGCATTAAGAAGGTGTGGGGTTTTTGGTGGGTTTTTTTAAGGTTTCAAGTTACTTAAACTAAAACTCTTGCTGACCTGGTGAGTTTAATGACAGATGACAGTTTGTCATCTGAAGTGAGCCACCTTCACCTTCTGAAGTACAAACCCCTAATACAGATAAATAACTCATACCCATTGTCTGGAAAGAGTCAAGATGAAAAGATGCACAACTACATTTGTAAGTTTTACCATAGTATTTTTAAGATTTACTTGAAAAGGCATGTCTGTAAATCAGTCCTGTACAGATTCCATGGATGTTATAACAGCAATAGATGCAAAGACAAGTGGGAAACAAAGCCTTTCTCTTTTGTTTCGAGAAAATTAACTTTAAGAGTGGAGAATGCCAGGATATTAAATCTTACTAATCACTTAAAACACAATGCAAACATTAATTACAGCTGATGTAAGTAAAAGCTAAATACACTCTCAGGATCTTTCAGATTTTCTATGCTATACATTTAAAGACAAGGTATCAATGGCATGCATCTTCAGCATTTAAAATGCATTTCATGGGTTTGTCTTTATTCTGATGTTTGAACGCAACTCAGACTCTTTACTCTCCCATCCCTTGGCATGGCTGGAAAATCCACCAGTGTTCACATACCCAGCAGTTATTCTTAATGCTTCAAATCTCCATGAGGTACAGTCATCTCCTGTTTACTTTATCTTCATCCAATAATTGCTTCTCCTGAACAAAGATCACTAACGCTGATGAATTCTTCAGGCTTTCTGGGGCGGGCAACCAGCCACCCAGCACCCAACAGAGACCACATGTTGCTGCACACACGACCTTTGCCAGGCATAAACACAGGTCCTTATAAGTAAAAGGCTGGAACACTGGTCCATGGCATGACTTTGCTTTCAAGTTTTATATACAATATTGAAAAGTATATTATCTGTATCCATCTCTGCATTTTCTGTCTGTTCAGAGAACTCCATCTGAAGACATCAAGGTAAGGTAGAGGACATAGAATTTAAATTAAGGATGCAAAGGTATTTATGACTGTCAATGATTACACATAATTGGAGGCATTTGAAAGACGCTTTTTGTTCAGGTCATGTACTTTGTTCGCCAGTCAGCTGCAAGTATTAATGTAATTAAAAATCCCCAAATGCCACACAAGGTAGATATTCACATAAGATACAGTCCTGCTAAGTGCACACTCTTCTTGTTGTTCAATTCAGTGTTGGTTTCACAGTAACAAACACAAATTGTCCTCATTTCTATATCATGTCTATGGAGTCTTGGGCAGCAACAACAGATGCAGACTCAGTCTGTCACTCCAGAAGGAATACCAATGTGCTTAAAGCTGCTTCATTTATGAAGCGAACATGGAACTGTTACCTGCCTGAAGAGAAAACAAGAAATTATAATTTTGCTAATTAGTTTTTATCTGTATTACTAAACAGTAGAGCTTTTCACAGACATATAACAGACATTTTTTCTTATAATTTTGGAAATAGATAAATTCAATGATGCTCAAACTGTTCTGAGTAAGCAACAATTAATAGAAGCTCAGCTCTACTTGGCCAGTTCTCCTACACTCACCTGCTAGGTTAAGGATTGTGGGCTTTAGGTCACACTGCTTTGAAATAGATGTAGGACAACAGCTGAAGACTCCTCCATATTGGCTCTCATGCCAAAAAAGGAGAAGCAGTAGCTGTCCCTCATTTTGGAATTCTGGTATATTTCATCATGTAACATTCAGGTTAAAAGTCAAATGCCTAGATTAATGATACAGGATTAATTACATCAGCTGCTAAAGATCTTAGGTATAATCAAAGCCTACTGGTATCAAGGCAGGGCTTTATCTTCCCCAAAATGGAGTCTGAATCACTTTATATTCCAGCAGTCGAAAGTTATTAAGCCTATGATATGACTCTCAACCATAACAACTTACCAGTACATGAAACAGTAACAGTGTTGAGGGAGAAAAAGCAATCGCTACACTTGTAGATGTTCCTTTTCTTTTTGCTGCAACATACTGAAAGAAATAAAGGTACTTTATTACTACAATAATAGGAAATCGAATGGAAGGGCTTATTAGTTACAATAAAAAAGAACCCAAAGTATCTGCATTTATGTTTGCTATTAGGCCTTCCTAGTTATAGATTAACATTACAAATTTCTCAGGGAGAAGGGAGGAAAAAACCCACATGCCATATATTTAAGAAATCTGATGGAGAATGTAACCTGTTTAAATTTCCTGTTAAGGCCATCTCCTGCATTTAATTGTTTCCTCTTTTCTTCCTACAAAGCAATGTTTTATATTTCCTGTGAAGTTAAAAGGAAGATGCAGGTTCCATTTCACAAGTTTTAATATCTGTGAGGATGAGATGCAGGATAAGTAATATGCAGAAACTAATATACTTGGTGAATATATATGGTCTTCCATTCCATATATTGAACATGAAGAAAATTTGTTTTAAGAATGGATTATTCTAGAAAGTTTATACACTGAAAATTTCAGCTCCTGTGACCAAACTGTTAGATCAGAACTTTGCCTACTTCTGCCTTCAACAGTGGGCAGTATCAGGAATTTCACACAATATGAGAATCCTACAGGATAAGCTGTGTTCTTCTGCCATCTGCATCAGATTTTTCCCTTAATCCCTCATAGTTAAAATTTCACCAAACACCCTGAAAATATGAAGTTAAATAAAACTCTGAAGATGCTTTAGCATGAACTATTCTAACTTAAAATATCCCTAAGTCCTTTTCTAATTTTCAGACTTCTTTACTCAAGTCACGCTCAAGCAACTTTGAATGTCTTTAACTGTTATTTCTAAAGTATATTTGATTACAGTTACATAGAATTTGAATAACAAAGAATTGAGTTACACAGAATTTTTTCTGCTTAAAAAAATCAGATAAAGCAGTGTTTAAGTGTGAATAGAGTCATGAATCTTTTTAGGACAACCTTAGGAATTTAGTAGGATTCGAATGAGTTCTCATTAACTTTCTATGAACACTAAAAAAAACTCCGGAAAATATAGATGCTTATATACACATACCCTGGGGAATGTAAAAAAGCGAAGAACATATAAAATGTTAACGTAAAAAATATGTAGAAGGATTTAGGAGCACAGCCAGGAAGATATTGTTTTCTGTTTATTTACATAATATCAATTTTACACCACACAGCAGATAAAAAAATTCACATTTTTTTGTTGCTTCCCCTATAGGTCTCAGCAATCCTTTCTCACAGCAGAAGTAAGGACAGGTAAAGTAAAGGTAATGTCCCCTTACTAAAATTTTGTATGCAGAAATCTCCCTATCAATTTTTATGTTTAAACTAGAAGCTCCTTCAAAGGCCATACCCTGAGCATATATTTTGCCTCTGTAGCAAGACCTTGTGTTGGGGTTTTTTTTTTGTGTTTGCCTTAGAGCTAGAAAGAAACCTTCAAGAAGTAGCTCTCAAAGATAAACTTGTATTTCTATAGATGTATATAAAATAAAACAAAATACCTTATCTCATTTTCCTCTTGACAGTCATGACACTGTGTAGTTTCATCAATTTCTGGTCTGGATTTGGGATGTGCTTTCTAGAAAGAAAATGCATTAAATATTCTAAAGCTTTTTTAATAACTCCCTAAACAATTGTTGTATGTTTTAGTTTGCTCCAGATTTTCAGTATTAAAGTTGTCTCGCAAAATGTAGGCCAAATCTTGTCCTCCAACCTGTCTGCTGCTGGTATAATTTAACTGTCAAAGTAAAATTTGTATTGTAGGCAGGGGCACAAGGGTCAAAAGCAAAAGAATCCCCTTCTCAAGATACAATAGGAGAACTGGGAAACTGGGGGAATCCCATGTTTTTATCTTCCAATTAGACAGCTAGCATACAGGTAAAACATGGTAGTGGAATTCAAGAATTTGACAACATAGATTTGCATTTGCATGTCACACAGTTCAGTGAAGATCAAAAGAGATGTCTCTTGCTTTCAAATGCAGACTGGTTCTGTTCTTCCCACCTCCCCATAGCTATAAAATGTAGTATCGCTATGTAAACAATTAAATGTAATATTTCTTACCTGCCAGTATACAGCTCCCAAAATAAAGCCAATAAGAAGAGACAGCAATGATGTCAGTGCTATGCTGATCCCTTGCAGGCTGGAGCTGCTAATGAAGCCAAGTGCCTCTTCTGTAATTACAGATGTTCTCATTAGTGAAGACCGATCTATAGCAGAAAACTATCTTCAGAGCAACACTATTAGCGAGAGCGCTTTTCTGCAACCACCTACATAACAGCATCTTAAATAGCAGAACAGATACTTCAAAGTGCTGTGTACACGACTGCACTTCATACAAAAATCTCACAGGAAGGTTTTGACCACAATGATGCTCCTCCCATTCCTGAAACAGCTGTGTTGAATAGTCCCAACACTAACTCTATTTTTGTCATATGTAGAGAATTTTATCTTTCCTGCACTTCAGAGTTTTGGGTTTATCAATTTTTAAAGGTCTTATTTTGTTACACAAATTAATTCTTTGGAAGAGAATATATCTGTCACTTCATGCATTTGCTTAAGTTCCGTAAGACACATCCCACTGACTGCAGACAGACACTTTGCCTTGCCACTAATGAACGACCAACATGAGGCCTCTTGAGGGATGTTAATTTAACAAAATAAGCCTGGCTTCACTTCTAATGTCTGTCTGGAAAGGTCCCGCTGACTTCAGTAAGATCAAACTCTTGTACCTTGAAGCGTGTTATTCTGTTGTAACCATTTCTTGATAGCTTTTTAAGATTTAGACAGAGAGCCCCAATCCTAGTCTTTTATGTACTCAAGCAATTCCATTCCCCTCACAGGGAGCTGTATGCACGCTGACACTCAAATGTGGCCCTCCAGTTATTTAATCAAGGGCAGGATGTGAAAAGTCCTACAGAGTCACCCTGGGATCCACCTTCTGAAATGCAAAGTGAGCCACAGGGGACTGCTAGTTTAGACACCATCCACCCAGTTTTAGTTCATTTCAAGATTTAGTGTCTGCAACTCGAATGGTGGATGTATTGTCAGATTACAGGAAAAGAACCGAACTGTAAGCACGAAAAGTATAGGGGATTAGATACAGAAATTAAGATGGACTGGTAGCACTAGAAATTTGTGACTCATGCAAACAGCAAATGTTTAAGCACGTACAGTATTATATACTGGGTTAAGCAATGTGCATTTAGTACATTATAAAACAGACTGTTAGAAAACCCTTTCGTTTAGAAAGGAGCAGTCTCATAATTAACTAGCAACCGATTTTCAACTCTCTGAGGTTTTCTGGTTGACATTTTGCAAGTTCTTACACAAATGTTCTTTTTATCTCTGAAATTCAGCTGTGTTTCCTAGAGTCACAGTAGACAGAACTAAAAAGTAGGAAAACAAAGTCTGTATTTTATATGCTCATATACTACACGTATCTCTATCTCAATATACTTTTTACAAACTGTGGGTTCTGATTATAGGGGCTTGAATTTTAATTACATCTGGTAGACTCAGCACACTAAAAGGAAATTGGTCAAGTAGAGCCTATGCTAGCTTACTGTGAAAGAAATCTGACTACAGAGCAGAAAGTAAAGATAGCAGACAAAGCTCTACTAAGGTGAACATCAGCTGAAAAAGAGAGGCTATTGATTAGTCTGCCTCTGTCTGCTCAGACATTAAAACCAAGTGCAGAAATTAACCCGAGGGGCATATCTTTCTTCAAACTGTCCATCCCAGATTAGGCATAAAGGACTTTTGCTTGCAGATCTGACCTTCAAGAAATCTGGACAAACTCAAGTGGGGTAGAGCCAGCCCGAACATCTCAAAATCCCGTCATTACTTTATCTGAATTGTATTCTCAGCGTATTTTCAGAAGTAAATTCCCATATCGCTCTTGTGCTTTAGTCATGAAAAATGCAACACTGATTTGCCTAATACCCTTAGCCATTCTTCCCGGTGACAGACTGCTGAGTGATACAACTAAATTATGTAAATTCTATGGGGATGGTCCCATTTTCTGTATTCTGCCTTGCAAACTTCAGAAAAAATGGAAAAGTGAAATAAAAATCAAAGAAAAAACTCTTCAGTTCATATAGAGCATAATTTATTTGGTAACACATTATGGTAGAGTGTATAATCTCAAAAATCTTCCGTCTACTCTGCCATGCTGGGCAGCCTGTCATGGTAAACATGCTGATTTTCACATGAACTTCTAGAGAAGCATTCTGTATGCAGAGTGACCAATGACAGCCTAGAACCCTCATTTGTATCATTATTTTTCCCACAAACTTTAGAGAGTCTTAGGCAACAGAGGAGCTTCTTTTACAATGAGGTATCCAAAAGTTGAAAAATTTGATTTATGAGAAGGTATCTCCAATGCAGATGCTTTCTTCAGCATCTACAAAAAACTGAAAGGAATTACTAATTATCTTTCCATGTGGGGACCTGCAACCAGGGACAGAGCCTAAACACAGTCAAAATTGTGTCACCCTCCCCACGTAACCTTTTAAAACAACAGATTTCTTTTTCATAACTTGATAGTGTATGAAATAATTTGAAAGTTAAGTAACCCATAAGTACCTTAAAAAGTAAACAACAACAGATTATTTAATTTCACTTTCAAGTCCAGAGAAGAGTCTCTTGAAAGATCTAGAGAGAATGAAATGAGGCATGGTTTTTCTTCATGTGCCTTTTATTTATAGTAACATCTAAAACAGAACAGGTTGGAGAATTTTCAGCCTGGAGAACCTCCCAGGGACCTGTGCCCTAATGCAGAAGAGTGAGATAAGGAAAGCAAGCTGGCTGCCAATAGGTTTTTATTCCTTCCCGAGGGACCTTTTCCTCTGTTAGAGCTCTAAAGTTTCTACACAGAAAGATTCCCACTTCCAGCAGCTGTAAAGGCAGAGTAAGAGAAGGAATAGGAGGAACCAGGTGTATAGGAGGAACCAGGTGTATTGGTAACTTTGTGAACTCCTTGGATAATGCCAGAGGAACTGCTGGCTTTGCGGCTAGTGTATTATTCACTTAAAACAGACTATCCAGCAAGGTGCAAAAGGGGAGTGGGAGCAGGCCAGGACATCTCAGAGTTCTCACTCTGCACCTTACAGAAGAAACCCTTAGGAAGTGAGCTTATCTGATGTAGATTTATGGTCTTCGTGGTCACTGGAATATTAAGCTGTGAACAAAATACACTTATATTAAAAGCCACTCGGCTACACAATGAAGTTATTGAGTTGCTCTCCACCTTGAGCCATGTGTGCAGGTTTAGCAACCAATTGTGATTCAAAGCACCGGCTTGATTTTTTTGCCATATGACTCAAACGAATTTTCAGTTTACCTCTGCTCAGCTCCAACGCAATTACCACAAGATCTTATCTATAAAAATGCAGAGCAGCTCTCACCTGTTCATTAGGGTTTTCCATTAACCATAAAGTTGGAACAAAGGCACAGAAGGCAACACCAATTGCATTAAGCCATGGGTGAACATTTTGAAATTGTGCAATTACTGAATTAAACTATGGTATTCTTTGCTTAATTACAAAAGTAGACCTTCTTCCTAAAAACAATTATAGATATCTCTGTGTTTACATGTTCTTTGAGCTGCTCAGTACTGAATAAAGCTAAATTATTGTGAGGAAATTATAGGCAAAAAATGGAAGAAAACACTTAACTTTCCATGAAAGTATAAACAATACTATGGCAATAAATTGAGTGAGAAGTGTTAGAAACAGCTAAGTTTACGCTTTAATCATAGCAATACGAGATTCATCTCGTGAAAAAAAAAAAAAGAGACTACCATTTATTGTTTGGTTCAACCACTGAAAGAAGAGATCAGGACTCAAGACTTCTTATCCTGACACTTATTCTTTACATAGGAACCATCTCATCTGAATTCTCTAGACTATGCTTGGTATAATGGTCCAGAGAAATAACAATGAAACTGTGATTTAATTAATTGGATTTTAAATTGGACTACAGTCATGTAATACAAAGAGAAGAAAACAAACCAACCTAAATAAAGGAGAGGGGATGTATGTCTGAGAATTTTATGGGGGAAAAAGATGGAGTGGGAACATGCCACAGATCCACATTCAATAGTACATGGATGAAAACAGCACTATTGCTATTCAAAAGAATTAGAACAGAATAATTGGTTCCATTTTACACTTAGTTGGGGTAAGACTTATGGTGAAGATTTAGTCAAAATTCTACTCTACTACAGTAGTTTATTGTTGTGTAATAACAATGAGGTAATGAAATATGACTCAACAAATGTAGCAACATGAAAAAATATAATTTAGCTGATTTATATTATATACAATTTCTATGATAATTATTTCACAAATGATTTTATTAGATTAGGCACCTCAGGTTTGTCTAATTTGACTTTGGAATTGAGAACAGTTCAAGTTATCTGACTGCACAGACTTTATTAACACATCCAAAATTTGTTATTAATCTGGAGTGGTTCTTTTGCAAACAGCAAACGATTCTAAATGGTCCAAAATCCATTAATTTTAAATAGCTCAATTTAAAACTGTTTAAAATTAAAGAGGGTCATTTAAAAAAAAAATGCTGTTGTTTGTGTCTGGAGATGCTTTATTCAGCTTTCCCCTCTTCTCCAAAAGTTTTCCTTTCCAAAATTTGAATCTAGTGATGCTGTTCTGAGAACAGTACTGAAGCCAGTAGACAGGGTCCCCTGTGCTGAGGAGTCTTCAAATGGGAAGTAGTAAGGTTTATTCACTGTTGTTCCTTCCAAGATGGTAGGGATTAAGTAAAAAAAGAAAACTTACTCAGCAATGAAGCCAAGACAAAACTAAAATCAGTACTGAAGATCATCTTCAGGGAGTAATATAGAGATGCCAATAAAGATGACACAGGTCCCCCTCTGCAAAAAGCTCCAAACAACTAAAGTGAACCAGTCAGCATCCAATGACCAAATTAATGTAATTTAATCTGATTATGAGTTCAAACTGTCCCCAGTCCCAGACATGCAGTCCTCATGTCGTTTCTACATAAGGCTGTTAACTGATATCCAATTTTCCAATAAATTGCTTAAGAGAATTATAATCAGTTAAAACACACCTGTACAGCATATGGCCAGCCAAGCATTTCTTTGACTTACTGCATTATTTTAATTAGGATTTTTTCCTACTTGATTATCAGTTCCAGTTATAAAACAGATTAATAAACCTGCTTCTGTACTCCCCTCCACAGAACAGACACAGGTGCCACACTCTGCTGTGCTGTCCAGCCTCCCTCCTGTTACTGTACTGGGTCAAACTCCTTTCATCTGAACTATCCCTGTAATCTATCTTCTTTCTTTTGGCTCCTTAATCCATTCCCATTGCTTCAGGCTGCAGCTGAATATTCTTCCTCTAGCAGCAACAGCAAAAATTATCACATGTTCAGGCCTGAGAGACAGGTATGCACTATTTAGCCCCCTCCTGGTGCCTCAAAATTAGCCTTGGGCTCATCAGGTTATTTGCAGCCAGCTCTGTGACCTCTTGGCAAGGAATTTCTGGCAGTGAGACTTCTCTTTTCCAGAAAGGCAGGCTGGCAGCCAGGAGTCGAAGGTGGGTTTTATTCCAGCCTTTTACTCAGAGGGTTCTGGGGAATGATGACTCTAAGACACTTGCTTAATTAGAAAGCAATCAAGAAGGGCTTCAAATCTGACAGCAGCTGTGAGCCAACTAAGAGGTAGCATGCATGGTGATAAAAACCCAGAGAATAACTAGATTACACATTTCCAAGAGAAGCACCATTAGAAGAAACTCAGTTTTAGTAGTATATGTCCCACTGTCAGGAGCTATGTCATGCCCAGCAGGCTACATCAGGCTGCCTCCTTGTCCATGTTTTCTTAAGCACAAGGAGTACCAGCCACACAGTTTCTCATCATGCATTTAGATAACACAGATGCTTGTGAAGTGAAAAGAAGAAATTGTAAGAGATACACATTGTCATCCTGATGCGTCCAGGAAACAGGAACAAGAAACAACAACATGGTTAAGCTTTAGTCACTGTTTCAGGACCTCTAAGGAAAAATCGCCTTTTGTTCACATAGAAAGTTTCAGAGAATATGCACCTTGTTGTACATGATGTTACTAAAAGCCCCTGAAACATCACTGGTTTTCTTCACCTCGGATTCCTATACCCCTTCTGATCTCACAATGGCCAACGCTGAAGCTCTTACAGCAATGACTCTGGACTCTTATCCGTCAGTGACCAAGACAGATGAGAAACACAGGGGTGGCCATGCCAGAGAGATCACAACCTACCACAAGTGTAGTGACTTTGTCCTTGACCTCAGCTGAAAGCATGCTCACTGTGGAGCTGGCCCTACTGCAACTGCAGCAAGCAAACATGGAGACTGTCTTCATGTTTGGTGTCAAGCTTGGGATTGACAGCACTCTCAGAGTGCAATGTACAGGTAACCTCTTTGTCCATGTGAGTACCCTGGGCCAAATTTAGGATAGCTACTCTGTTTTGAGCAACTTCCTTTTCTGAGAGTTAAAATGAAGTGCCTGAGACAGCCAAGTTTCCTGCTGCCATATGACTAGGGAAACCTCATGACAGTCAAAACAGAGACCTGCCCTCTCCAAGTTGCAGAGAGCCGTCACATCATTGTAACTTGATAGCATTTCTAAATTTTGATTAGATAAGTTCATTGCATTTCAGTATGACAGCTGAGAAACACATGGTACACCATCAGGCACAAGTAACTTCCCATTAATTTGCACAATTAATGACATTCTTTTCCTCTGAGCTCTCATAACAACCAGCTACCAGAACAAAATGGAGACACATATATTAATTCAAGCACTTGTACTTACTGTTACTGCTAGTGTTACTGCCAATGCTGTCATTCCTAAGGGAGCTGGCAGCAACAGGAGGAAACAAAAATGTTTTTGTGACAGCGACTCTGGAATCTAAATAGAAAATGAGTGTGTCAGCATTATGTAATTTAAAATACAGTTCCCTCTATGTAAGATGACGGGCTTCAGGGCTACTCCGATGTGGCTATCGGGCTGTTTTAAAAATCTGGCTACAGGGCTGTTTATAAAGTGGATTAAGCCAAAAAAGGCAGTCTTATTAAGAGGCAGATGTGTCTACACACTGAGCTGCTGCTGAATAGCTATTCTGGAAAAGCAATTATGTTAAACAAGTTCTTAGGTTATGGCACAGATCATCTTCTATTTACTACTGGTGTAACTATGCAACTGGATACATTGCCCTAATTAAAAAGCCAATAGCTGTCACTAGAGAGAGTAAAAGAAAAGAGAACACGAAACCTCCATTTACTGGAAGGATGAGAACGAACTGCAAGAGCCTGACCTGAGCTTGTTAAAATTTTTAAATAAAGTGTGTCCCTTTTCAGGAGAGGTGGGATGAATAGGGAGGTGACTTGAGGCAGCTGCAATTTACAACTTCTCCGAACTTCCTATCTTTTCAGTAGTCCAATCTTAGATTCCTTTACTGCCTCAAAAATTAAACAGAGCATTAATAGAAGATAAGAAGAACCATATAAAAAGACAAATCAGGATGTATTTGGGATGAAAAGAAACAGGGCAGAGTATTGTGAGGTTATTTGGATTATATTAAGGAATGATGTCACTAGGAACCATAGCACTAGTTTTACTGCCAGACAGAACTCAACTTAGAACACAAGCTTCAGTGTTGGTAGTAATTTTAACTGGCAGTTAAAAGGAGACATGGAGGTACAGCATCAGATCCTTAGCATCTCTGAAATCAAAGGAAAATCACCCACTTATATCTACTTCGATTCTGTTCCTCAAAATGAGAGCCATCTTACCATTCTCTGGTGTTTCTACTGTTGAAGGCAGAATGCAGTCATTCTTATCCAACATGTCTGCAAACTCCTTGTAGACCTCTATGGTACTATTAAAGTGCCTAAAAAAGTCCTCAGGAATGAAGCGACCTTCTTCATAAAGGTGACCATTTTCTTTTACAAAATCCTAGGGTAAAATATAGAATTCAGCTTGAAAGAAGGTCAAGAGATGCTCATTTCAGCACCTCAACAGATGATCTGAAGATGACACAAAAATAGTTTAAATTTTTAACTTGCAGAAGACCAAATTTGCTGTATACAGTCTTCATAAAACATACAAGCTCTCTGATCTGAGGATTTCAAATTAACTTTGTAAATAGAAATAAATTATTAATCCAGTGTTGTAAAACTGCCAAGGAATGAAAAGCATTCTCCCATCCTGTGCAGAATATGGAGAGGTGGGTCTTTTTTATTTCTCTCATTCAAAAAATTACCTTGATTTCACATTACTTTGCAATGTTCCACACGATACTTTTAATCTGAACACAGGAAAACAACACAATCATAGCTATTGTCATAAGAGTATAGGGAACAGAATACAATAGTTGGGATACACTACTGCACAGAAGCAGGCTGAGATCCCTGATAAAGTACCTAAAAATAAGAGCAGGACTATAGACAAGGAATCATTCTGAGGTCTAACAGACAAGTGGTTTATGCCAAACTAAACAAGAAGATTGAGGTCCATATTAAGATCATTGATTGCTATGTTCTTTTTCTTCTTTTTACCTGACTGGCCTTCATAACAACTGTTTCTTATGCCAGCAGGTCAAATTTGGCCTGGGGTTACTCTGTACTCCCAAGAAGGACAGTGGTAAAAACACGGGTTAAACATGTACTAAGGAAAACTTCCTAGTTTTGGCTTCAAAATTATTTTATGCTTAATCCTGAAAGTATTAGACTCGAATGAGTCTTTTCTGAGGAAATCAATATCTAGTTGTTTCTCTGAATTACAGGATGTTTACTTCATTCTATGAAATAAAATTCCTCTTCCCCAACCACATCCCAGCTGAGCGCTTTGAATCATCAGGACAAGAATAGAGAAAACAAAAAAATACATTGAAGATTGGACAGATTTCAGTTTGAAATGGAAAGGTAGGGAATGTCTAAATAGTCTCAGCAATATAGTGCAAATATATGACCAGGTTACAAGGTTATGCCACTCTAAATGAGATTGAGTGGTTTAGCCCATTTAATTAATTCTGGATGTTAAAAAAGGTGCAATTACCACAGCTAAGGACCTACTTGACACAACTAAACATATATGGAAGATGAAAACCTTGCCCTAAAGAACATGATTGATTTTGCCCATTTTGTTCAGTGTGACAAAACCTTCAACTACAGAACTTATTTTTAATTACTGATAGACTGGTTAGAGCTGGGTAAGGGATTAGAAAGTTAATATTTTTCCCCCATCATTTTCACACAAGAGAATCAGGCATCTCTTGAGTGAGACTCCTGGAATCGTTCCAGCTGCTGTTGGAATCCAGAAACACATGGAAATGGGCCGATATCCTCCAGTCTTTGCTGTGAATTTATATAAAAAGGTTCATTAAACCATGGTGAAGCTTTCAGAGCTTCACACACTGTGATACATGCTAAAAGTACATTAATAGCTTCAACCACATCATCTTTAAACTTTTGCTCGTTAGGATCACTAGCAAAATGAATAATTTAAGCTGGATGCACAAGGAAGATTTCTGCTTGTTTCAAACAGACCAGAATGAATTAATTATCTTAAAGATGACAGTTACATTTTTGACTACTTAGATAACTGTATACAGGTCATTGCATATACTGTAATTCCTTCTAAGTCATTTTCCTTTGAAACAGGAGATTATGACTAGCCAACATTAGCACAGTTTACTCAGTGCATTTCTAAACAAAGCAGGATTTCAGATGTACAGGAATAGAAATGAGAACAAATCTAATCAAGCTTTGGACATTTTAACTATTACTGAGTACCGTGCAACAGAAAGTTCAAACAAATATCCAGTACAGAAGTAGAAACTCTGCATATGATTACCTTATTTTTATCAAAAGCTAAGCATGCCATAAGATCATTAATTATCCTTGTGAGATTATTGATGATTGAATAGTTGCTTAAAACATCAGACATATCCGAAATATCTGAAAATTTCTGGAGAAGATTATGTAGACTCCTTGAAAATTCAGGCACCATCAAATGTAACCAACAGTGATTAGGCTGTCAGGGGATAAAAAGAGAAACAGAGAAGTAGATTAAATATCAGTCTTTTTTGCAAAAACTGGTTAAGCAGCCAAATGTGCAAAAGTAGCTTAGACTGTTCTTTCCAATTTAAATTATCTTGAAAGTCTAAATTAAGATTTATCATCTTTAGTGTGGCCAACTTTCTCCTCAGTCCTTTTGGTGAAATTTCTACTCTCACAGATACTGACATATTTATGGTTGTCTGTTAAACACCATTCCTTCATTAAATTCTTAATGAATGCTAAGCATCAGTCTGTTGATAATTTGAGCCTTGGGACATACTACTATGAACCCTAGTCCATGCTTTCATTAGCCTTTTCTTTTAAAAAGAAAATTGCTTTAACAATTTTCTCCAGACTTTAAACCCATCTCACTTTTCATTTTATTATTGTTACCCTACATGACTGTTAACCACAAAGATCCTTGATTTAAATCTCTTCCAAGACAGGTTTCCATAATCGTTTTGCATTAGATCCATGTGTGCTTTTATCCACCTTTAAACTAGCTAGCTTAGTTAACTCCTCTTCAGCTTTTTCACTAAATGCTATTCCCTAGAACAGTTTCTAGATCTAAAAGTCTGTCTTTTACTGAGTTTTTGCTGACAAAATGGTTCTGCACAGCCTGTGGCAGTATTTGCCACATCTGTGCCACTGGAATAGAGTTCAAATCCTTTCACTGACACCTGTGTAATTAGTTTGCAGATAAAGTTTGTACAGCTGCTCATGCGATTGAAACCTGGTCATTCATCTTGCTGCCTTACAGGGAGTCATTATCTCCTTTCACCTAGATTTACATAACAGTAGTTAACTAAATAAAGTCACCCAGCCCAGGAAAAACCTTAACTCAATATGGTCAGCAAAAATACAGGTAATGCATTAGTCACACTACAACATGTACCTGGAAATCCCTTCCCAATAAATGTGGAATTTTTAATGGTAAATGTTATGGGAATTTATTCCTTATGCAAGGCTATTTTTTCAATGATTGGAAATGTCTCAGGATATTCAAGCCTGACAGATAGGAAGATCTTGATCCAGCAACCCTCAAGTACTCTCAATATCACTAAACCAGTTTGCAATTGCTGCCCAGTAGATGAGCAGCATCCACTGAATCCATCCACTCCCCTTTCTGCAATGCACAGTAAGTGTTTGGCGATGTACCACTTCTAGACTTAATCTCATTTTACTCAATTCGTACAATAAACCTGCATACAGATTCTTTATTAAAAAAATTATCCACTGCTATCAATATATCATCACTTGGCAGCAAATTACTTTCTCGGTGGCATAGGTGTTGTTCTGCCTTGATGTGTAACTGTTTTTGATGAGGAAAAAAACAAAACATAAACCCACACTTCATGCTTTCAAGGACTAACTAGACTATTAGGCTTCCAGGCTTACAGAACACTGTTCAGCTCCACCTGACTTTTCACTTGTGTGTACAACTCACACACTGATAACAAGTGGCAAGTCAGTGTTATCACCTTCTGTAATTATCTTAACAATGACTTAAAAGAATGAAACTAAATGTGAAATGGATGTGAAATGGTGTTTGGCTTGATTCCGCTTTCCTTTTTTCCTTCAAGCACCAAAACAGGAGGCGAGAGGCAGAAACAAATAAAACTGAGAAAGCTTGTTGAAACGTACTCAGTTCACAGTGCCATGTCCCATTGCCCTCACAAGACAGACAGTGCATTTTCCCCTGCTCTGGTGTAGTAACATGGACACAAAACTTCTGTGCTTCCCTGAAGTGCAAACCTGGAAACCCTTTTGCTCTGAGGTTTTGTGGGGGTGCATTCTCCTCTGGCAGGGATTAGCAAAAGCTTGCCACTTCTTCTAGTGAGCATTTGGCAATTCCAGCAGGGAATCTATTTTGTTGCTGCCATGGTTTAGCATGTGTGTGAGTCTCCTCTAACTGAACCGTTCTGACCTACAAAGCTGTATTTCACAAGAGCTTTAAGTTTTCTTTTCAGTAGTATCAAGCTGTGCAATCACTTGCTAGCTCAATACCTACCATATACAGGGATGAAACTGCCTAAATTGAGAAACTGGATGTTGTTTGCAAGGAGAAATAGAGGTTTAACTGCTTTTTTGTGGACATTTTGACCAAGATTTACATTTTGGGGCAACTGCAAACCTGACTTCCCTTGTATTTCCAGATAGTTCTCAATTAGCTTTTTCTTTCTACACCTACCTAATAGTTTGAAGTTTGTCTCCTCTTCTGAGTTCAGCCCCTGTTTCTGTCATTTTTGCCTTTTAACCTTCAGGTTAGACTACACAGTTCACTCTATGTGAGACTACTTTTAAAGCCACTCAGATGCCTTGAGCTAGTGCATAATGCAACAACCTTTCTGTTTAATGGATTGGGTCAGTCTGTTCCTGTTACATGCACTACACTGGCTTCCCATCTGCTTTGCATTCACCCTGCCTTTCTACCTTTAGTCATCTGCATTTAAGACTTGATACCTTGGGTACATTTCCCACTTTATGCACTCACTGAAGACTGAAATATATTGAAAAAATTGCAGAGCACAGTTTCAAACCTCTTAGAGCTGAACAAAGGGCATTCCCCTTATGCAAAGCTGTGGGCTTCCCAGCTTGCAGGGACCTTGCAGAACCCAGAGCAAAACCTATTTATTCAGCCAGCCTTTTCTGTGGTATGTGTAACACAACCTGAAATCTCCAGACAGGAATTTGGCAAAGTGGGATGTGAATACCGCTGAATACTTCCTCCTGCAAAGGCATTTGGCCAAGAGCCGCACCTTCCATCACCATGACTGAAAGCGGTGTACAAGCAAACAGAATACGGAAATCCCAGCTGTGAACTTCTTTTTCCTATTTATTTTGTGGCTGCTCATCATAAATGTATACTGGATCTAAGTTTCTGAATATGATGCAGCGAGATGACATGGCATCTAAACTATAGAAAAGAAACTGTATAATGGCAGCTGAAACTGAACCACGGAGTGAGGTTAAGACTTAAGCAGTGAGAACGACCAGGACTCATTGCTCAAGCAGGCTCCCTGGCCACCTTCATCCCCAGCTCAGCTCTTGCCCATCATCTGCTGCGCTCATCCCTGAGGCTGGGAGCATCACTTGAGCTATGGCTGTCCGTCCTCCACCCG